ATTTAGAGAACTTGTCTGACTGAATTTTTTTTTTTTTTTTTAAGATCCTCAGTAGTTTTCTTTCTTTTTTTTTTTTTTTCTGTTTGGATGTCGAAAAGAAAGATAACATTTTGATGTACCATGTTGTTGTTTTGGTTAATAATATAAAAAAAAGGTAACTATTTTATGAAAATGACACAGGCTCATGTTAAATATACTATTGATTGAACATATTCCACCATACTTTGCAAGAGACTTAAAATTATTATTCTTATACGTTACGAAACCAATTTCCCTAAAAATATAGGCAAACCTCATACCACTCCCAGGCTTGCTTCCTACCGACTAATTTATTAATTCTGTGGACAATTCTGTAACTTTAAAAAACATTTTTTTTCTGTTACTAGTGAATAACTTGACTATTATTTCGAATACTAAGAACAAGGGGTTGGCGTTTCAAACGAGCAGGGGATGAAGTCACACCAGTACTAATATACATAATGAAGTTCTATTAAGTCCGTGCTTACGAGCCATCTTGTCCTGCACCATCCAATGCCCTCCTCCCAGCTTGTAGCCCTTCACATAAAACATTCATCTTGTTTTTACATGATTTGAAAAAAAAAGAAAACATAAAAGACACTTCACATTACCCCTTAACTACCCCAAGCCACCTCACAGAAATGTATGCCAATAACGAGAGATGTATGCCCTATCGCAGGCAAGCGTGTTTAAACTGCCTATGATACTTGGGTCTAATAAGTCTAGTAAGCCTGTTAGAAGTATCAGACATCTCATAGGCTTATAAGAGCTATTGCTGCTTAGTCTTATTGGTCTAGTAATAGTGATTAAACTCAGACATAACATTTCTTTAACATTAGACATGAAATAGATTTAAAAAAAATAGACATTTAAAATGGTATAATTGGGTGTCGAATTAGCTGTTAATAGTATTAACTGTTGTACACTTGGTATTAAAGGTAAAAAAGGCCAGAGCTCAAAATTTAGCACACTGCATGTGAATATACTATTTTGTTAAATAATTGCATAATAGAATTCTTAAACTTTTGTTGTAAATTTACCAATAACATTAATAAAAATATTCAGAGTTAACAGTTTTAAACTATTTTAATATATACAGTTCATACAGTTTTTTTCACGCAAAAGCATTTAATGTTTAAACTTTTATGTAAATCTTGATTGAAAAAAGTAATTTTAAAAGTATAACAAACAACTTGATGGAACTTTAAAAAATGCATGTGGGGATTAATTATAATTTCGAAGACAAATGATAATTTTAGGTCGTAATTTTAGATAAATTCTTCATGTTGTTAAAAATAGTTACAACATAGCAATAGTTAAATAAAAAAACAAATATCTACATCCTTAGACTTACATTGCCGTATAAAGATTAGGAACAAACGTACGGACAAAGAATCATAGCTTGCTATCACTACCATTAAAAATAAAAGAAGGAAAAATTAAGACATTTAATACGGCAGAGAATAGAGCAACAACTAATGGCTTAAAACTTAGTTATAAATATTGTAATATAATTTTTAACAGTATTATTTTCACATTTTATAGTAAGTGTACTTCATATTTAAGTAGTAAAATTCTTAATAAATGCTTTGTGTTTCAGTACATTTTAAAGTATATAAAAATTACATAGATATTATTGCTCATAAAGGTATAAATAACATCGATGACTATTAACATCGCAGTTTTCCAGTAAAAATTTAAAATGAAGTTTAACATAATAATTGTATAAACCTTTAACTTTAGTTCAAGAGACAAATGCCTTTTATTAATTTAAAGTTAAAGTATATCAGACTATATATGTAAGTGTGAAAGATCATGTATTAATAAATTATTTAGATACAATATTGAAACAGCTAAAAAAACAGCAAAGAAAAAGATCAAGTTTTGATACAAGGATCACTTTGACTACAGGGAATTCTGCTTCACTCCCACGTTTAATTCACCAAAAACAATTTTCTTTGCTACTCACACTTTTTATGCCAGTAAATAAGGCCCAGGTTAAAAGATGTAATAACGTTAGGACGTATTTTTAAATTTTTCTAGACCCACTCAAGCATGTGTCGTTTTTTTAAGAGCTTAAAACCCAAGTTATACTTCTATTTAAGACTTATGAAATAGCTTACTAACAATGAAGAACATAGCTTAGAAAGCAATGTCTTATTTCTTAAATTAATGATCATTATTTAACCTTATACTTTAAATGTAAGACACATTAAACTTTTCTATTAATTCAAATACTAATTGTTCATTTAAATAAATGTGTAGTGGCATTATAAATGTTTTTATGGCTATTCGAAAAAATAATATTAATGACCATTTTTTCTCCAAAACCCATTGTTATTGTTTAAATTTCCTACTTTATCAAAAGCTTATGTTGGTATAAGATCTTTTCATAACATCAAAAAATATAAATACATATAATGAGAACGTTTATTTAGAAGATTACCTAGTGTTTTATAGTTATGAAAATTCAACGTAAGCTTTAAAGAACCATGGTTTTTAATTTTATTTAAACTACTTAAAAGTGGTAAAAATTTGCCAAGCTTCTCTTACCTTATTTTTCTAAACATAGCAAAGAGTTCTATCAAATAAACTCTCAACGCACAAGTAGTACCACCTAGATTTTGCAAAGTTTTATTGGCAAATACATAACCCATGATAAAGTATGTACATGAAGCAATAAATTTGTGTACTGCTCTATTTTTGTTTTTCACAGCAATGTTCTTGGGCAGTTTGAAATTTTTTTTTCTATTCTTCACACAAATTTTAAAAAATTAGGTAGCATTAGAGATCTTAAGAAATAGGAGTCCAAGTTGAGTGAAGCGGCTGTTAAGTGACGTGGAGAGGCCTGGGTGGCTGCGGCGTAAGGTGAGGCAGCTCTCCAGGTGCAAAGTTCCCCTTGTTAATAAATTATGCTATTAGGTCTAGAATAATGTAGAAGTAAGTAACCCAATTACTGCGCGGACACCAACTTCAGCGTACTCAACGGTTATACGAAACAAGAACCGACTCGAAAATTTGTGTGCTCTAAACGATGTAATTTGCTCTGACTTTCAAACCATTCATTCTGCAATCATACCTTACATAATGACACTCATAAATCATTCAACTAAATGACTCTCAACGAATCTAATCTATATAACGTCGTCGTTGTTCGCAGTTACTGGTGCGCAGTAGTTGGGTCTGGAATATGACATGAGAACCTTACGGGAGGTACTTGTACAGTAATTGGGGTTTCAGTTACTGTAGTGCTAGTCTCGTTCTTATCCGCAGTAGCAGAAGAAAGGTATATCAACATGAGAATAATTGCTTAAAAAAAAAAATAAGTAACTTAATAGAAAAACATTATTGCATAAGATGCTGCAGATAAAAGTAAGATACAACTGCTTTTACTTACACGAAAAAACGAGCAACTTAGAGCAGCCAAAAATTTTTGTACACAGCAATTACATTCTTTACTCCTAGAAAAGTAAATAAAATTTCTTTTCTAGCATTTGCACTTGGGTGATGTGTTCTAATGCGCTCGTATTAGCAAGATAAAATGAGTTTAATTTTGTTACACATACTCTTGAGGGTATGATTCTAAAATCGTCAGTTTTTGCGATCTAAGGTTCTAACGAGCGTGCGTGTACACACACACACACACACACGTATAATGTGTGTGTATGGTTGCGTGTGTAAGTACGAATATATAGTATATACTTTCATGCTTCCTCCTTCATTTAGTACATTTTTTGCATAATTTTCAATATCAGAAAAAATACAAGGTGATGAATTATGAAATAAGTATAAGCTCTTTTTTTGTAAAAATTTCATCAATAACTAAGAGAACTATGCTTTTCTACACATCAACAAAATTTTCGAACTTGAATATAAGTCACGTAAATTATTAAATTTACTTGTACCATTTAAAATTGACCTCCAAAACAACGATAACGCAAAGAAAGTTGCGTTCTGTAAACATACGCTCGATTTAATGTATACTTATACACTGATAAGAGTAGTGTTAAAAAAAGAATCGTAACTGTACAAAAAAAGACTATATTTTGAGGAAAGTCAAGCTGTACATACCTGATGACACAAAACTATTACCTTTAAAATAATTTTTATTTTATTTTAAATAATTTTTATTATGCCATAGCCCTACAAAAATTGTTTTATGGAATAATAAGAACTACTTTGTCTAACATAGTAAGAATTGTGGTAATACCATGCTTACTTCACAATATAGTAAATATTGTTGTGATTGTTGTAAAATTTNTCTGCTATCAGAAACTATTAAGTCATTATTTTTTTTAAGTTCTTTTTATATTTTCAAATATAATTAAAACATTTGTTTTCTACTAACCTTCAGAATTTGCCATAGCCCTACAAAAATTGTTTTATGGAATAATAAGAACTACTTTGTCTAACATAGTAAGAATTGTGGTAATACCATGCTTACTTCACAATATAGTAAATATTGTTGTGATTGTTGTAAAATTTACCTTATTCTGAAGTAGGATGTGCTATCTGACATAGTAAAATTTCTCATTCCACTGCATTGCTATTCAGAATATTTTAAAATTACTATGTTTAAAAGTAATTCCGTACGATGTCTATAGGTATATACGCCTATTGAATTTCAAATTTAAGGTTATACGAATGCAAATATTAAGAGAAACACATTAATTAATTTATCAGGATTTAAAATTGATACAAGCCGACAATTAACTTTGAATCGTCTAACTATCTCCTGTTAATACCGTGGTCCACAAAAGACCCTATGACTTTCCAATTTTATTGTTAGAATGATAAACAATACACGTTCTCACATGTACTTTATCCATACTTGCGAGGACATCATGCCCCGTGGTCAAGTGGTTGCGGAGCCTGACTCGGAAGCACAAGCATAAAGGTTCAAATCTAAGTCACTGCAGATCTTTTTTAAAATAAAAATATTTGTAGAACACATCAGTACCCATAATCTTAAGAAAAAAAAATCTATAAGCTCAACTAATATGACCATCTTAAGAAAAATAATAGTTTTTTTCACATATATGACAATTGCTAACATTATAATTGTGGATGGGCAAGTAAGCCAACAATGTCCTCCTCACATCGAAATCTATCCATGTACATGTAGCATTAAAAAGAACGGATTAGACGTTATTTGCGAGCTTACTGATTTTAATAATATTAGTAAAGCAATGGATAGCTTGAAAAAAAGACAAAATTCAGTAATATTTTATCTAAAACTACGGCATAACAACTTACCAAAACTTCCAGGATTTGTTTTCTTAGGTTTAGATATATATCATCTTACTATCCACAACAGCAGCCTGGCTGTTATTGAAGAAGCGTCGTTATCATCAATTGGTAAGTAACTTTATCCTTATGTCTATTAAACTTTTTTCTTATATTATATTATTCTGCAAGCAATAGCATAAGTAACCTAATGAAATTCTACGGACAACAGGCTTGGAAACGTTGAATACTCCTAATACTTATAAATTAACTCTTAAACTTAGTTGACAAACATTAACTCAACTTATACTATCAATTTAAATGTATATTATTAGTTACTAA